AACACATTAACAGATATTTCACCAAAGAGCATATTCAGATGGCAAAGAACCATTTGAAAATATATTCAGCATTATCAGGGAAATGGAAATTAAAACTACAAGGAGATTCTACGATGTATCTATTATCATAGTTAACTTATAAAAACAGTGAAAGCAAAAAACACTGATAAATAAGCTATAAAGTACATTCCACATACATTGCTCATCAGAATATAAAATGGCACAGATACTGCGGAAAGCGATTTGGACTTTCTTATTAAACTAAACATGCAATTATCATATGACCCAGAAATTACACTTGTGGACATTTACCCGAGAGAAATAAAACTTATGTTAACATAGAACTTGTATAATAATGTTAAAATAGATTATTTGTAATCAACCCTTTTGGTTTTCAAAAGGTCAGTAGTTAAATACAAACATACCATGGAATACTACTCAGCAATAAAAGGAACAACATAGTGATATATTAAAAAACTTGGCTGAATCTCCACGGAATTTTCCTAAGTGAAAAAAAATAAGCCAATCCCAAAAGGTTATATACCACACGATTCAATGTAAACAACATAACTGAGATGAAAAAATTTTTGAAATAGAAGACAGAATAGCAGATTCCATAGTATAGGAATGATGAGTGTGAAGCAAAAGAGAGGCGTGTGTAGGTATAATAGTAAAGTGACATGAGGGATTCTTGTGGTATTGAAACTGTTCTGTGGTGGATGGGACAAGAACCTACATTAGTAATAAAATTGTATAGAACTTGCTAACATAGATACACACACATATACACACAATCAGTTCTAGTAAAACTGTAGCAACACTGTTAAGAAAGGTGGATTGCATCCATGGCAATTTCCTGTTTATGGTATTACAAAATGTTGCCATGGTGGGGCAGGAGGGAAATGCATAACGGATCCGTTTTATTTCTTATAAATGTATGTGAATCTTCAGTTATTTGAATAAAAAAAGATACATACCAAACTTTTCTCTCTCTCTCTCTCTCTCTCTCTCTCTCTCTCTCTCTCACACACACACACACACACACACACACGCACGCACACACACACACCTTCCTTAATTCATGTCAATTACACATAAAAAGGGCAGTGTTCTCTTATGTTGCAACTGTGGAGAGAAATGACTTCTGATATGAGAGAGGGCATACATTGTGGAAGCAGGAAAAAAACTCGTATATAAGAGTAGAAGAATCTTAATTAATTTTCTCCATATTTAGCACAAAAAAATCTGAGTGCCAGTCATAGATATGCCAAAGTGCAGAATACTCCAAAAATGGTCCTACTTACATTGAAAAATGTAAACTAAATATGTGTAGAAAATTAACAGCTTCTTTTTTAAAATAATTATTTCTTATTTAACTTTGTTTATTTACTTATTTATTTTAATTTGACCGGAGAAGGGGAGAGAGAGAGAGAGACAGAGCGAGCAAGCGAGCAAGCAAGCTGCTAGGTCTGAGACTCAAACCGCAGTCAGCCATGTGGGAGTCCAGCGCCCTTAACCACTACACCATCTGCCAGCCCCAATAGCTTGTTCTTTTCCTACCATGTGTCAACTGTTTAATTCCTATGCAGAATGGGGTGGTGTACTAAATCAGAATTTCTTAATACAGAGAATCAAAATAATTGTAAATCTAGTTTTTCTTATAGCCCAACTATTAGATATAACAATACAGAGAAAGTATAGAATATTATTTTGACCTTGCTTTTATTTGATGAGTTTTCAAAGTAACTGCAAGAAATATGATTACATACCCAAGTAGAGGGATTTCTATTGTTTTATTTCCTATAGAAATAAGCAGTTGGTCAAAAGTGTCTTCATCTTTATCAGGATGATATTCCACCGTAGCTGTCATCTGAAGGCCAGAAGCAAGCGCTTTATCCATATTGGGCAAATTCAGTTTGAACTTTAGCAGGAAAAAAAATAATAAAATTATACGTCTTAACTCTTTATAAGGAAATAATGTAAATAATTGTAGTTGGGATCATATATTATTCCTGTCCTAAAGGTAAAAGATTTTTTTTATTTAAAAATTTTTTTGAGAGGTTTTTGCTATAGGGCACGTGCACTCACCAGACAGACAGAGACAGAGAGACAGAGAGATAGAAAGCGAGAAATCACCCCCCCAGGGGAGATGGCCATGCTGCAGTCCCTTCTCCTCCATTCTCCTCAGGATCTTGGGCACGGACGCACACGCGCCTGGCATGAGTTTAAGCCACCGGATCCGGGACTTGAACCTCAGTCGACTATGTGGGAGTCCAGTGACATAGCAATTACGCTAACTGCTGGTCCTTAAATTTTATTTTTGATTGATAAATAATAATTATATATTTTATAAATAACATCTGTATACTATAAATAATGTACAATGTGATGTTTTATTATATACATGTATACATACATTGTGGAAGAGGCAAACCAAACTAATTAACATACTTATCATTTATTTGCGATAAGAACATTGAAAATCCACTCTGGACGATTTTGAAATACACAGAACATCATCAATAACTGTAATGATTCTGCCGTGTAGTAGATCACTGGAACTTCATCCTCCAATCTAACTGAAACTGTACCCTTTGACCAAAATTTTCCCCCAAAGTCTCTGGAAAGTACCATTCTACTCTCTACTTCTATGAGTTAGAATTTTTAGATTCCATATATAAATGAGATCACATGATATTTGTCTTTCTGTGCCTAAAGTCAAAGACTTAATGCCCATATTTATCTCTCTCAGTTTTTAGATTCTTAAGACATGCTTTCAACAGTACACAAATTTGAACTGGTAATGCATTTAGCTGAGAAATATGAACAGGCTCATGGCTACTTTAGAAATATGAAATGCTTATAGTAATTATGTGGTCTTTCTTCTAGGCAGCTTAAAATCTAGTAAGAAAAAATGAAGAGCAATCTAATAAAAAAGATACATGCATGCATCTATTTTATACACAAAAAATAGTTCCTGCATGGGGGCTTGGGCTTCATAACTCGGAAGAAATACAAAAGATACATAGAATCAAAGGGAAAATAAATAAATAAAAACACTTTCATTCGAGTAAAACATTTGCCAGACTCCAGAAAAAATGAAGTGAGAAAAAGATAATTGATATTGGTTGAGCACTTATCTGTGTCATGCATTCTACATCTAAAATCTCACTTAAAACACTTCTACAGTTCAGTGAGGCTGATATGAAGGCTTTCATCATAAAGGGGAGGAAACTGGGACATGTAGCATGTGACTAATGTCTAAAGTCATGCAGGCAATGAGCACTCAAAACATATCTATCTGACTGCAAACTCTTCCCACCCCCAAACTATAAAGAGTTCCTCTCCTGAATATATAACCTCTAAGGAGATAGGTATCCCTTGAAAATTAAATAATATAAACCAGGGACCATTTACATTGCATATGAGTGATGTAGACTTGAATGTCACAAAAATCACTGACTGGGCATGATTACTGTGGGCAAGGAAGAAGTGTAGTGTTCTTGGCCTAGACTTAGAGGATCAATGTGAAAAGTAAAGAAAAAGCAAAGAAGGTGCTCACTTCAGGGATAGGAATACCTTAGCACAGATAAGAATAAGCAAAATAGTCTCTCAGAAGGCAATGAATAAGCCACCTTCACTGGGCAGAGTTCTCAATTAGTAACAATGGAGTTCAGGTAAAATTAATTATTCAGGAATTCTAATACCAAGCTAAGTCTAAATAGTGCTTTGTAGCAATGAGAAAAAGAGAGAGAGGTGGAGTGATTTGTTGATAACACTGGTCAGAGAGCTTCATGCCTCCAGCAAATAATGATTCTGATACCTTATAAATACCACAATGCTATCTCTCAACCTCCCACAATCACAGAGCAGAAGGAAAACAAGGGCTAGATTTTTATCTCTCTGTATGCTGGAAGTTCTCCTACCAGCCTGAACTAGCTTCCCTCAAGGAAGGTATAGCTTCAAGAAGGGAAACCTGTAAGGACATTTGGAGAAGGGATACCGAGGTAGAGCATTGATGGGATGGGGAAGTGTGGTGTTATTGGTTGAAGATATTTTGATCAACAGGACTGGGGAGAAATGTTCACATACTGAAATGCTCACATTGTAAGCTAAACAATGTATATACAAAAAGAAATAAATTAAATTAAAAAATTTCAAAAAAAAAAAAGAAGAAGAAGGGAAACCCGTGTTTCACAATCATATACTTTTGGTCAAGCTACAAGTTTCTGAGCACTCATATGATATCCAAAGTTGTGTAAGGTACCATCTCTACTCTCAAGAGTTTATGAGCTGAGCACTGAGGCAAAATTAACATTTCTGAGTCATCAGGAAACATATCCAAAGTATAAGGAACATCTGTAAATGCAATTAGTATCCAGTGGGGCAGGAATAATTGGGGGATGATATAAGAGAAGACTTCTTAGAGAAAATGAGATCTCACATCGACCTTAAAAGATAGATGGGATTTGGAAAATGGTGATTTTTGTACACAAGAGGTGGAAAATGTGAGTCAGAGAAAAGGAAATCTGAGCCATAAGGGAGAGGGGACAATTATGAGTAAGACTGGCACGTTGAACCAGAGACCACACAAGTCATTACAACAATATTACATGGATAGTATCAGGAAAACTGAAGGATGGCATTGAAAATCAGGCCTAGGACTGTCTACGTTCCTTGACGACAGCACTATATACAACATAATATTAGGTCATCAGAAAAGTCATGACTCAATTTTGCATAGAAAAAATATGTCATGACTTTTCTGACGACGACCCAATATATACTCCATACATAGCAACTGTTTAATTCCTATGCAGAATGGGGTGGTGTACTAAATCAGAATTTCTTAATACAGAGAATCAAAATAATTGTAAATCTAGTTTTTCTTATAGCCCAACTATTAGATATAACAATACAGAGAAAGTATAGAATATTATTTTGACCTTGCTTTTATTTGATGAGTTTTCAAAGTAACTGCAAGAAATATGATTACATACCCAAGTAGAGGGATTTCTATTGTTTTATTTCCTATAGAAATAAGCAGTTGGTCAAAAGTGTCTTCATCTTTATCAGGATGATATTCCACCGTAGCTGTCATCTGAAGGCCAGAAGCAAGCGCTTTATCCATATTGGGCAAATTCAGTTTGAACTTTAGCAGGAAAAAAAATAATAAAATTATACGTCTTAACTCTTTATAAGGAAATAATGTAAATAATTGTAGTTGGGATCATATATTATTCCTGTCCTAAAGGTAAAAGATTTTTTTTATTTAAAAATTTTTTTGAGAGGTTTTTGCTATAGGGCACGTGCACTCACCAGACAGACAGAGACAGAGAGACAGAGAGATAGAAAGCGAGAAATCACCCCCCCAGGGGAGATGGCCATGCTGCAGTCCCTTCTCCTCCATTCTCCTCAGGATCTTGGGCACGGACGCACACGCGCCTGGCATGAGTTTAAGCCACCGGATCCGGGACTTGAACCTCAGTCGACTATGTGGGAGTCCAGTGACATAGCAATTACGCTAACTGCTGGTCCTTAAATTTTATTTTTGATTGATAAATAATAATTATATATTTTATAAATAACATCTGTATACTATAAATAATGTACAATGTGATGTTTTATTATATACATGTATACATACATTGTGGAAGAGGCAAACCAAACTAATTAACATACTTATCATTTATTTGCGATAAGAACATTGAAAATCCACTCTGGACGATTTTGAAATACACAGAACATCATCAATAACTGTAATGATTCTGCCGTGTAGTAGATCACTGGAACTTCATCCTCCAATCTAACTGAAACTGTACCCTTTGACCAAAATTTTCCCCCAAAGTCTCTGGAAAGTACCATTCTACTCTCTACTTCTATGAGTTAGAATTTTTAGATTCCATATATAAATGAGATCACATGATATTTGTCTTTCTGTGCCTAAAGTCAAAGACTTAATGCCCATATTTATCTCTCTCAGTTTTTAGATTCTTAAGACATGCTTTCAACAGTACACAAATTTGAACTGGTAATGCATTTAGCTGAGAAATATGAACAGGCTCATGGCTACTTTAGAAATATGAAATGCTTATAGTAATTATGTGGTCTTTCTTCTAGGCAGCTTAAAATCTAGTAAGAAAAAATGAAGAGCAATCTAATAAAAAAGATACATGCATGCATCTATTTTATACACAAAAAATAGTTCCTGCATGGGGGCTTGGGCTTCATAACTCGGAAGAAATACAAAAGATACATAGAATCAAAGGGAAAATAAATAAATAAAAACACTTTCATTCGAGTAAAACATTTGCCAGACTCCAGAAAAAATGAAGTGAGAAAAAGATAATTGATATTGGTTGAGCACTTATCTGTGTCATGCATTCTACATCTAAAATCTCACTTAAAACACTTCTACAGTTCAGTGAGGCTGATATGAAGGCTTTCATCATAAAGGGGAGGAAACTGGGACATGTAGCATGTGACTAATGTCTAAAGTCATGCAGGCAATGAGCACTCAAAACATATCTATCTGACTGCAAACTCTTCCCACCCCCAAACTATAAAGAGTTCCTCTCCTGAATATATAACCTCTAAGGAGATAGGTATCCCTTGAAAATTAAATAATATAAACCAGGGACCATTTACATTGCATATGAGTGATGTAGACTTGAATGTCACAAAAATCACTGACTGGGCATGATTACTGTGGGCAAGGAAGAAGTGTAGTGTTCTTGGCCTAGACTTAGAGGATCAATGTGAAAAGTAAAGAAAAAGCAAAGAAGGTGCTCACTTCAGGGATAGGAATACCTTAGCACAGATAAGAATAAGCAAAATAGTCTCTCAGAAGGCAATGAATAAGCCACCTTCACTGGGCAGAGTTCTCAATTAGTAACAATGGAGTTCAGGTAAAATTAATTATTCAGGAATTCTAATACCAAGCTAAGTCTAAATAGTGCTTTGTAGCAATGAGAAAAAGAGAGAGAGGTGGAGTGATTTGTTGATAACACTGGTCAGAGAGCTTCATGCCTCCAGCAAATAATGATTCTGATACCTTATAAATACCACAATGCTATCTCTCAACCTCCCACAATCACAGAGCAGAAGGAAAACAAGGGCTAGATTTTTATCTCTGTCTATGCTGGAAGTTCTCCTACCAGCCTGAACTAGCTTCCCTCAAGGAAGGTATAGCTTCAACAAGAGAAACCTGTAAGGACATTTGGAGAAGGGATACCGAGGTAGAGCATTGATGGGATGGGGAAGTGTGGTGTTATTGGTTGAAGATATTTTGATCAACAGGACTGGGGAGAAATGTGCACATACTGAAATGCTCACATTGTAAGCTAAACAATGTATATACAAAAAGAAATAAATTAAATTAAAAAATTTCAAAAAAAAAAAAGAAGAAGAAGGGAAACCCGTGTTTCACAATCATATACTTTTGGTCAAGCTACAAGTTTCTGAGCACTCATATGATATCCAAAGTTGTGTAAGGTACCATCTCTACTCTCAAGAGTTTATGAGCTGAGCACTGAGGCAAAATTAACATTTCTGAGTCATCAGGAAACATATCCAAAGTATAAGGAACATCTGTAAATGCAATTAGTATCCAGTGGGGCAGGAATAATTGGGGGATGATATAAGAGAAGACTTCTTAGAGAAAATGAGATCTCACATCGACCTTAAAAGATAGATGGGATTTGGAAAATGGTGATTTTTGTACACAAGAGGTGGAAAATGTGAGTCAGAGAAAAGGAAATCTGAGCCATAAGGGAGAGGGGACAATTATGAGTAAGACTGGCACGTTGAACCAGAGACCACACAAGTCATTACAACAATTTTACATGGATAGTATCAGGAAAACTGAAGGATGGCATTGAAAATCAGGCCTAGGACTGTCTACGTTCCTTGAAGGCAGCACTATATACAACATAATATTAGGTCATCAGAAAAGTCATGACTCAATTTTGCATAGAAAAAATATGTCATGACTTTTCTGACGACCCAATATATACTCCATACATAGAGTCAATGCAGATTCTTGAGCTAGGGTAGAAAACAAGCACTTCTCTGTGTTAGGAAAATCATTTTCTAAGTAATTATAATAATGATGATGACAATGCCTCTATATAACGCCTTGTTTTACTTCTTCTTATTCCCTCCAAGAGAGATGACACATTTTTCACTATTTTGTCTCTTTCCTAATTCCCTTTATGCATATGATGGATAAGGTGTGCATATCATGATCCTGCAACAAGAGAAATTCACACTGATACTGGCCTGTAACCAGCAAATGTATCTGGCTATTCTCTTATCCGTGTCAGGACTTGTGTGGGCTGAATAGTTTTCAATGACAACTCTCACTGCAAAGCAAAAGAAAACTAATTACATCTTTTTTCTTCTGATTGAACACAACCCATTCATACAAGTGCCTCCTGAACATCCATAACATAGTTTATCTACATCCAGAAATTACTGCCAGCTTGATTTTTTTTTTTTAAGAGAGATTTTTGCTATAGAGCATATATGCTCGCTGGAGAGACAGAAAGCGAGAAATCACCCCTCAGGGAAGATGGCCACTTCACAATCCCTTCTCCTCCATTCTCCTCTCAGGATTTTGGGCATGTGCACACACATGCCTGGTATGAGTTTTAAGCCAAAGGGTCTGGGACTTGAAGCGCAGTTGACTACATGGGAGTCCAGTGATGCAGCCATTATGGCATCTGGTGGTCCCCAGCTTGAGTGCAAAAGAAAGTATTTTTAGATATGTTAACTAGTTTAATTTCATTATTCCTCATTGTACTAATAAATTATAACATCGCCTTGTACCACATACATTTATAAAACTTTGTCAATTTATGATAAAAGAATAAAAAAGTATTTTCAGATATACATTCAATTGTTCAATAAATATGTGATAAGAAAGTGAAGTAATAAACATGTCCTTAGTTTTGCAGTATCTGGAGTAATCATTTATTTTTTCATTTAAAGAGGAGTAAATCTCTTGAAATACTTTTTTTTGGAGAGGTTTTTGTCATAGAGCGTATGTGCTCACCAGACAGACAGAGAGAGACAGAGAGACAGAAAGCAAGAAATCACCCCCCAGGGGGGAATGGCCATGCCACAATCCCTTCTCCTCCATTCTCCTCTTAGGATCTTGGGCACGCATGCACACGCGCCCAGCATGAGTTTTAAGCCACCGGGTCCGGGACTCGAACCGCGGTCGACTACATGGGAGTCCAGTGACATAGCCATTATGCTAACTGCTGGTCCCGAAATACATTTTTTTAATTAAAATTTCAAGTTACTTTATTAAGAGAGAAAAAGAGAATACCCCTTCTAGGATCCTAACTCTGTAATCTGCCTCCAGCCTCAGCCAGCCCAGATCATTGGCATGTGCCTATGTCTGGCATGCACTGAAAGACCCTATATATGAACCTAGAACTTTCTTGTGTGGGTCTGGTTGAGTTACCACTGTGCCACATCTGGCCTCAAGAGATGCAATTTTTATAAAAACACTGAAATACAAAAATCATTAAAACTGATTCCATCTCTACGAAAGTCAAGAACAGACAAAACTAATCTTTAGAGTTAGAAATCAGAACAATGTCGCCTTCAGGGGATGATTACCCCAGGGACTGTAAAGAAGGGGCACTGAGGATCCTCTGTAGAGCTGGATACATGCTATGATTTGATTTAGGTGTTAGCTACATGGTACATATAGAAAAATTAATCATATTGGCACCAGCAGATGGCATGGTGGTTAAGGCACTGGATTCCCATGTGGATGACGACAGTTTGAGTTCGAGACCTGGCGGCTTGAAATTCACAACAGGCATGTGTGCATGCATGCCCAAGATCCCAAGAGGAGAATAGAGAAGCAACTGAGGTATAACCATGCACCCTGGGGGGTGATTTCTCGCTTTCTTTCTGTCTCTCCAGCGAGCGCACGTACCCTATAGCAAGAAAATTCTAAGAAAAAGGGGGGGGGAGACTAATCATGTTTTACTTTTGATATCTGTGCACTTCAGTGTAGTACATCATTTTCGTACCTCATTTTTGTTTTAAAGGGTAGAAAATAGCACTTGAAAGTCCTTTTTCTCGTTGCCTCCTTATCATTACTATGTGTTTTTATACATACATATCTACAGAAAAGGTATTTAATTTTAACCAAACAATTATAGACATCTTTTCATTTCTATATGTGTAAGATGCATTTAATCATATTTATCACTAGGAATACCTTGTGAACGTTTTTTAATTATTTTATCACTTACATATCAAAAATTCTTATCATTCCTCTATGAAAAGTTTTTCCCCAAGGTTAGGTGATTACAGAAAACTAATATTTATCCTTTTAACACATGATGTAAGAAAACACTGTGAGATAGAGATGAAATTCTGTCCACTTTGAAGTTAGGAGGCCCTCAGAACATGAATTTAGATCATGTTTAAAGCCATACGAAATTTCCCTCATTCATTTCTAAGTTCTAGTAGAGCAGAGCTGTATCCTGTATTGTTTCACACCCACGGCCTGTTATATAGTGGGTGTTCAACAAATGTTTGTTAAAACATGAGAAACAATCAACCTTTCCGCCAATTCCACAACTCCTGCAGTAATCAGGTACTTTAGGAGTCAAAGAGTATTTAACAGTTAGTTCTCAGAATGCCCAAGGCAACTACAGAACTGTGAAGCCAAAGTGTACAGATCGGGGCTACTACCATGTAAACAGTGCTGGATTAATTTTCTCAACCCAGGATGAAAATGGGCTGTCCCCATCCTGTCTTGCCCACCACCCAAACTCAAGCAAAAGGAAAAACAAAATAAAATCCCCCCTTCTCCCCCCAAAAGAGGATAGCATACATAGGCACAGAAACACCTAAGTCATCAGTGCTCCCCTGGAAACCCAATCCTTCCCCCACCCCCTCAAGGGGCGCCCAGGTGAGGAGGCATTCTCAGAGATCCCGCCCTCCCGAAGTCCTGTTCCAGGTATCCCTTAGTGTGTCACCTGTGGCTTGATCGGCTCCTGAAACCGGATTTTCAGGTTACTACGACCAAGATTGTGTATAGTAATCGGGAGGCGGTAAACCTTTCCCGCCAGGGCGTCCAGGAACTTCATCTCTGTCGGAGTCACTCGAAGGGGTATCTCTTTAATCGGGCTCTCCGCGTCTCGGGAGGCGAGGGAGCCCCGCTCGGTGTCCATGACTGACCTCTAGGTAGCCCGCAAACGGTGGCGGACTTGGTAGATTGGAGACAATTGTGGACGCCTGTCGCTAGGCAACCGTCAAACGCTGAGCGCTAGCCTAGAGCCCCGTACTCAGTGGCTCCTCCCAAGCAGCGCTAGTTCCTGCAATAGCGACTACAGGAGTCTGGCCAAAGGGGTTGGGAAGTGCCAAAAACACGCTATGGCGGCGGAAACACCCGAAAACGCCAGAGGCATCTTACTTTGCCATGGTCTCAAAGGATTTTAAGACGGCACTGGAGTAGAGACATTTCCCAGAACTCTAAAGCTTAATGAAAAGCTCTAACCTTAAAGCTTAATGAAAATGATAAGTCCATGGGATCTATAAAGGCAGTTAAGATGTAACAGAAAGGAAGAAAATTAGGGGGAAACAGAGTCAGGGACCCCAAGATGTCCTACTCAGTGGCTTTTAGGCCAGAGTTTCTCAATCACAGTGTTGTTTACAACACCAGAATACTGAATTTATGAGAACAGAAATCAGTAGGGATAGGAAAAATAACTTAGTCTATCCATGATGGATAATCATTTAGATCTATATGCATTAATATGGAAAGATATCCATTATACTTTAAGAAGTGGCCAAACCATATGCACACTGCGATGCCTATTTCTTGTTACACACACACACACACACACACACATACAGTGTAACAGCAATCCTCTGGGTCTTTTTTTGCAATGCAGATTACAGTTTCGGTAGATCTGAAACAGAACCAAAGACTACAACAAGCTCCCAAGTGATTCCAATGCTGCTAGTCCAGGGACCACACACTGAATACATAGAGGCTTTAAGAACTTTGTTAACTATTCTAGGCATACTCTTTATTTGTGAAACAAACATGATGCTCAGGAATTAGATATCAAACACCTTCATTGCCAGTTGAGGACTATAGCAAGAGGTTTAAATTCATATTATCCAATCTCTACTTTCTCATGCTTACTCCACCATGACCTCAGAGATTCAAAATACACTACTTGCTTCTGTTCACTCCTTGCCACTGCACAAGATGTTCTCTCTGAAGGGAATGGCTTCTCTACCTGACAGCTGAAGTATTCATCCCTCAAGACCTAAGTACCAGGACCAGCAGTTAGTGTAATGGCTATGTCGCTGAACTCCCATGTAACTGACCGCAGTTCGAGTCCCAGACCCATTGGCTTAAACTCACGCCAGGCCCGTGTGTGTGCCCGAGATCCCAAGAGGAGAATGGAGGAGAAGGGATTGCCACGTGGCCATGCCCCCTGGGGGGTGATTTCTCACTTTCTATCTCTCTGTCTTTCTGGCGAGCACATGTGCCCTATAGCAAAAACCTCTCAAAAAAAAAAAGACCTAAGTACCTCTGTAAAATCTTTCCTACGATTGCTTTATAATATTCTTATAGTATCAAGATGATAAACAACTTATTACTTCATTCTTCACACAGAGGTGGAGATTAAAGCCTTAAATGCAAAGGCAAGTTGTCAAATTTCTTGAAATTGTTGCTGCCAATAGTTGGAAAGAGTGATGGTGGTGAATGTTATTTGTAAATTCTTAGGAATGGATAGATTTTAAATATCTGTATCATTTTTCAAAATTCTTGCTTAACAAGTAGGTGAGGTCAATCCCAGCTGGATTTTTTATAATAATCACTCCTACCATGATCAATACAGACAACAACACAGGGCAGAAATTAATAAGGGCATGTTCCTATGAAGGCCAACAGTTGTGACAATATCACCCTATTACTGGGTCATCGGA